GTTTGTGAGATTCAGATATGTGCGCACTTGGTGTGATATAACTATCTTATTGCTAACGTCGCCTTCTTTGATAACTTTTTGGTAAATAAACATGCTTGTTGTCTTTATTTTTTGTGTATTCACTGTATTGTATTGAACAAAATGGTTATGCGGCCCGCCCTCGTCATTCTCTCAGTTATCTGGCCCGCTGTGAAAAAAGTTTGGTGACCCCTGCTCTAGCACGACAAGTTTTCGTGATGAGATCGATCAAATTTGAAAGGTTATTGCCTTAATTATAACTAAGGACAATCCGGACAAAGTTTACAAAAGAAAATCGTACTCGCAACGTTTTTAGGTTGTGCTCTTTTTCATTTTTTTTTTCATAAGTGTGTACTGTATAAATTTAACCAAGTGTATGGTTTGTATAACGTTTATGGGAATTATACTGAAAAATTAATAAAATTGTAATGTTAACTAGCCTAATGTGTGATTATTACCTAAATTGTGATGAAATTAATACCAGTCATATTTCGATAACTAGATGTGCTAGAAGAAAACCAAAAACAGATATGGAATCAGCGTGCAAAATTGGTCTAGAAGAGTGCTTACATTTTTGATGAGAGAAAAAAGTTCGATTTTGTCGAATAGTGTAATAAGTCCGAGGGCTTATAACGCTAAAAAGCTGGATTCGATACCCGCAATTGGCCAAGCACAGATAGCCCATTGCGTAGCTTTGTACTTAACGACATACAAACACTATTTCCTACTTTGCACTATTACTATTATCATTTATTTCGACATTCAGTAAAGTTTATCTACGACTAGTAGGAGTATTTTCAATGCGATGACAAATAAAATTTAAAAGGGGCTTTTGCGTAGCTCGTTACAAAGGGTTAATGAAATGAGTGTCGTGCACTTCTGCTTATTGAGAATTGAAAATAAGAATCAATGTTTTTGAAACAAAAACCAAAGTTTTGTGAAGGAATACAATTCTTATTAAATTGAGCTTATAAAAGAAATTTGAACACGTCTATTCAAGTAATGCCGAGGA